CGGCTTAAATAACCTCCCTGAGTGAGGGTTTTTCTGGGGGGCAAGTGGAGATAGATGGTCTTTTATTTTTCCCGTCCCTGTGCTCTCGCCTTTATTACAGAGACTTTGCCCATTAGAATCTCCAGAACTGCAGTTTTCAAACTGTGGCGTGGGAGCCGGGGCTTCCCAGGGACCCTCTCGGGGGATCGTCACCAAAGCAACCTTGAGTGAAACAGCGGTGGGCTTAGCATAAACTCAGCTGTCCTCAATGTCTTCCTCATGCCTCGCACTGTGTCGTGTCCCTGGAAAGCCAGCTTTGTTTCCCGGTGACTTTGGGGTGATGAGTGGTGCCGGCCGGCCCTGGAGCTTGTAGGACGCCTCTGGGCCCCTGCGGTGCTGGTGGTTCGGGTCGGGGCTGCCTGGGGCAGCTGCCTTGCGTCCTGGCTGCAGCTCTGAGAGAGCGGCTTCCGCTGCCCCGGAAGGCTCCGTTGGTTTCCCTGTCATTTTTACCCTTTGAGTCCATGTTAACCCTTGTAGGCAATAAAAAATATGTATTTTTTGCATGGTTACCCAGTAGATAGTAAGTTAGCTGTTGGGGTTTCCCCAAGTCTTCTTTTGTAGACTGAATACCAGTGGCTTCAGTAATTAATTGATTTTAAAATCAAAAATTGATTTTAATTGTCTCTAGGGTGAATTTTTTAAAGTATTATTTAGTATGATTTTTTTGGATAGTGTTTTATCAGCAAATAATTAGAAGTATGTAAGCTTAATGTTTATATATATTTGAACTTGATATTTTTGAAATAGATGAAATATTTAGTTTCATATTTAGATGAATTTTGGATTCTTTCCAACCACAATGTTAGTATTAACAGCATTTCGACACTGTGTGAAGTAAAGAGAAAAACACCAGTATTGCACTTTAGCTTCAGTGTTACAGCTCCACCCTGATAGAGAGCTGCATTCTGTATACTCAGTGGCTTCAGATTGCATCAGAGATTCTTGGAAACTTAGGGCTCTTCCCGAAAAAATGCAACTGTGAGTAAGCAAGAGATCCTCTTAGGGACGTACAGGTGACACCTTTATTTACCTAACAGCTGCTCCTAGCGCTGCCCCGTGGTGTGGACTGTTGAGGCTTCGGGAATGTAGTTGTGTCTGAGACCGACAGCCGTCCTTGGTCCCCTGAAGCCTGCGTTCTGGTGATGGAAGGTATCGGAAAGTTGGCACCAGCTTCGGCACATGCAGAAGTGAGAGTGGGAGTGGCCCGGAGGGCGCCCGGTGGAGGGGGCGCAGTGCGGGGTGGTGGGGATGAGGAGCGGTGTCGGCCAGACGTGCGTGGGAAGAGGGGTCTGCGCCCCCACGGTGTTCTGAGAATGGCGATGTGCACGTGGTTCCCGTGGCTATGTGCAGGCCAGAACTCACTGGAAGCCACTGGGCTGGCGCACGGGGAGACACCAGTGCAGACTGCACGCGCTGGTGGGTCTGGTGGTCCCTTCGGGGTCGTCTCACCAGCCCTGTAGTGAGGGCGCTGGGGCCGGAGCCCGGTTTTCCTGGGGCCCGTTCGCAGTCGCTCAGGGTTTCCACCCCGTGGCTTGGCAGTCCCCAGCCCGGCAGCGCCGGGCGGGGCAGAGCTGCTCTCCGGTGCCAGGCCGGGGAGGGGCCTGTCGCAGGTGGGACTGAAACCTCTTCGTCAAGTGGGACTGCAATGGCCAGGCCACTTGCTTGTCACGGCCCCTGGGTGTCATGTTGAACACCGTGTTGGGGTGAGCACACGTGTTTTTGATCTTCCATTGTCGTAGATCTCTCTGTAGTTGGCACCAAACGAGGAAGTTGAAGTTGGCCCCGGGGTTGATCAGGCCGTGAGCTCAGCAGATGGACCTGCGAGTTTGCAGAGATGCTTTGGTGACCGGGACGTCCCACCGATGTGCGTGAGCTTGCGGCCCCACGTGGCGCGGCGTGCGGAAGTCAGCCAGCAGTGGTGGTGTGGGCCCGCGGGCCGCTCGGGGTCACCTCTGTCCTTGCCGGTCTGCCTTCAGCAGGAGTCCCTGTAGCGCTGCACTGGCACAGACAAGTGGCGAGCCAGACTCGGCCCTGGGCCCGGTGTGGTTCGTGGTGATGAGGTAGTTACCTGGGACCAGCGGGTTCCCTGATGGACAGGACATCCTTCTGCCCCCCTTTGTCTTTTTCAGACTCGTGGGTAATTGGGAGGCACAGCGAAGTGAAGGCGTCTGTTCCGGCAGTCCACGCTGTGAGCCCGACCTACCGAAGTCAAACAGAATGTTCAGATATTGCCTTAAGTTACATTCTTGCTAGGTGGCTCTCCCTTTTTTTGAGCAGAAGAAAATCTTTTCTTTCACAAGCCCTTACTTTATACTATAAATGCTCGAGTAGGAATTTAAGCAAGACAAAAGAGGTGTTGAGATAGGTTCCTTTTTCATAGTGCAAACTAAAATTAAAATGTGTGATTTGGGTGGCTAATCAGAAGACTGGTAGTAATCAATCAAAGTTGGATTTTTTAAAAAAATCCTCTTACTATTTGGATAGATCGGTCGCCCACCTTATCACCAGTTGATTGACGCGCCACCAGGTAAAGAAACGGCGTTTTCAGTGGAACGAGACCCTGCCCCGCTGCCAGGGCCGAGGCGACTGCGGAGCTGCAGAGACGCCCGTGTGCGATGCGGTGCAAGGGGAGCCGCCCGCGGAAAGCTGCGTGCACGGTCACGGGTGGGCACCACAGGCCGACGCTCCCCTGGCTGGTGTCCGTGGGAGGGATTCCGGCCCGTTTTTATTGGCTTCAGGGACTTTGTTTTATCCTAAGGTTGGTTAAATGTGTAAGCAGTTTTCAGCAGGCACTTTTCCAACCCTAGTGGGCTACCATATGCAAGGAAGGCGACCAGTTTATTTCTAAGCCTTCCGCTGACATTGGGTGCATCCACGGCGCGTCAGGAGGACCCACGAGCGAGGCAGTTGGCGGGGACGGCGGGCTTTCTCCGCTCCCGGGGACACACGCGCGACAGTGTTCTGCCGTCCCCGCTCGGCCCGCGGCCAGCCGTTGGGAGGCAGCGTTTCCTTGGTTCGCTCCTGCACCTCAGGAGCTCTTTGCTCGCCTCCCTCCACTTCTGTCCCTTTCTCACCGAGGTGTCCCCTGGCGTCGCCGCCCCCCACCCCAACTTGCTCCGGGTTCCTGCCCTCGCCCGGCCCCTCTGTGCACCCGCTGCCCGGCGCTCCTCCCAGTCCTGGCGGCTCCCGGAGGCCCCGGTTCCAAGTCTGCAAACTGTCGTGTTTCGGTCACGATGACACACGCAACAGTAAACCCTGGACCATTTCTGGCGTAGAGCAGTCACCCCGTAATCACAGCTGCCGCCGTTGTCATTGTTGTTGCATGTGACATTGTATCCCCCTGGCGTGGCTCCTTTCCCTGTACCAGACGAGCGTGCTCATGTCTTCTGTTCCCTGAAACACGTCGCTCACACTGCCTCACCCCTTTGGTGCCGGCACGTTCCCCTCACTCTGTGTCTGCTGTGCAGACCTGTGTCCCACCTGCCAGCCCGCTTTGCTGAGAGCCCGCGAGGCCCCAGAGCCAGGGCTTTCCTTTCCTCACCGTCCTCCGCGTGTCCTGGTGTGGCGTCCCCCGCCTCTGCGACGAGGCAGGCCTGGCGTCCCTTGGATTCTTGCACCTTTTCTGTTTGCTTCTCTGGCTTCCAGCCCTCTCGTCAGCCCCCAGATGTGTGTGCTCCCCGAGGTTCTGCTGACCTTTTCTTCCCGCCCCACACCCTCCTCGGTGGCCTCCTGCTCTGGAGAGCGTTTCCCATAGAGGCCACCGCGTGGGCAGTGCAGCCCGCTCTGCTGGCGCGCCCGAGCCAGATGCACGTGTCCCTGTCCTCCGCCGGCTGCGTCGGGCTTCCCTGCAGCTGTGCGCCTCCTCGGCCGCCCCCACCCCCGTGCTTCGGGGCCTCCTCGGCCGCACCGCCCCCGCCTCGCAGGAGCCCCTCTGACAGTTTTCTGTGGGTGCGTCTGCGGAGGGCTGCCTGGAAAGAGATTTATCAAAACGTGTTAAGACTTTATCTCTGGGTGGTGGGACTTCATATCGTTTGAATTTTTTTATAGTGGGCATTTATTATTTGCGTCCTTGTTCCCACCCTGTGATCGTACTTCCCAGCCCTCGCTGGTCCTGAACCTCCTGCAGAGGGACTCCTGGCCATTTCCTCATTTCATCTGCTTCTTGCCTGGCTCCTCCCCTGGGCGCCTGCTCTTCGCTCTGGCAGTCTCCCGTGGTCGTTTCCCAGGGCTTCCCTTAAGCAAGCCTTCATCGGAGACCCCCCCCCCTCCGGCTCAGTGGGCCTTCACCTCCCAGGAGCCCTCGGTCCCTCGCTCCCTTCCTGTGCTCTGCCCTCTGGTCATCTTGCGTGGTGTTCCGTGTTAGCCCCTTTGTTACATTGTAAGCTCCACAGGGCAGAGACTGGGTCTTAGTCGTCCTTTTCCACTCCTGGTTACAGTCTCCCGACTTTTTGCTGGGGGAGGCGGTGGTGACCGCTTTTCCCACCGGCTGGGGTTCTGGGGGTATGGCCAGCGTCCTGCCTAAAGGGTGCTCTTCCCCTGGAGTTCCGTCCCGAGGCACGGGCCGCAAGGACTGGCAGTGACCGGCGCTGACCCCTCCTGGCTGCGGTGCTGTGAGGAAGCCGCCCATTAGTTCCCGCCTCCCAGAGCCCTGGAGCTGCTCGGACCCGAACCCTCCGGCCCTGAGCCCTCCGAGGCCCGGCTCTTCAGATTTTCCTTCGCACCTGTGAGCTATTGCACAGCTTCGCAGTAACCGTCAGTCTCTCTCTCCCGTCTCTCCCTCCCTCCCTTTTTGAAAACTGTAAGACAGCCAGAAATAGTTTCTGTTGCTTCTACCCAAAGCTTTCTAACGGTAGAGCTGTTGTGATTAGACCTGACCAGACTTAATCATTCTAGTTCTTACCTTGATTCTGATGTGCTTTCTTCTTCTTTTTTTTTTTTTCACAAACAACAAAACAACACAGCCGGAGACCGCCGCCGCCCTGAAACGGACGATCGGAGCCCTGATGGACAGAGGGGCGGTGGTGAGGGGCTTGGAAAGCCTGGGCGAACGCGCACTGCCGTACCGGATGTCGGCCCACAGCCAGCGGCACAGCCGAGGAGGGTGAGCGTCTCGGCGCGTCACCGTCACCGAGGGACGCCTTTGCTCAGCCCCGGGAGGAGTGCTCTCTGATGAATTCTCCTGAGAGACTGGCGTAACTTCACAGTCCGAGCCCTGCCGGGGGGTTCCCGGGCGCTTAGCCAGGGGACAGTAGGCCTCGGAGGCGGGAGGCGGTGGGCGGTACCGGCCCCGACCGTGGGATCCGTGCGAGCACAGGCCGTGCCAGGGGCAGCGGCGTTAGGGGCTTTCGATTGTGGGGGACTCCTTCTTGTCAACCTAAGCATGGTTTTCCCCGGGCGCTTCTGCAACATTGGCCTTGAAACCGCCTCGGTGAGGGCGCGTTGTTCGCAGACACAGCCATTCTTCGTACGTGTGCAGGTTGCAGATAACAAGCAAAATGTACAATGAGAACCTAATCCAACCTAATGTAGCCTAATCCACCTTTTTTAAAAAAAGATTTTGTTTTTAGAGAAAGGGGAAGGGAGGGAGAAAGAGAGGGAGAGAAACATCAATGTGTGGTTGCCTTTCGCGTACCCTCTACTGGGGACCTGGCCCACAACCCAGGCATGTGTCTTGACTGGGAATCGAACCAGCAACCCTTTGGTTCGCAGGCCGATGCTCAGTCCACTGAGCCACACCAGCCAGGGCAGCCTAATCTACCTTTATCTACTCAACCAGTCACAATTTTTTTGTGATGGAATTTTCTCTCACAGTAGATAGCAATTTCCTCAAATGATCCTTTATGGAAATTCTTTTGAGACCAGTTCGTTGAGTTGGCACGAAGCTTCTTGAAGCCCTGGGGGTGTCCTTTCTGTGCACCTGGCTTCTGGTCTGGGGGGAGAATCTCCTCTTGCCGGGCTTCCTGGGAGTAGGAGATGGGGGGAGGGCGGGGTCTGTAGTTCAGGTGGCGGACAGGGTCCAGGAGGCAAACTCTCTGTGGTGGCGGCAGTGTGTCCTTGAGCTCGTCACAAAGCTTCTCTGGTTCCTGCGTCCTGGGACACTGACCTCGGGTGCTGACGGTCCCGTCCACATTGGCGCGGGGGCCCCGGGAGATGCGCTCTGGAGAGGCACTCTGTGGACCCTCTGGGTGTCGCATGTGGTTGTGCAGAGCCCGTGACCTGCCCCCATGCAGGTGCGGTCCTGTGGCGGGCCCGGGTGGAGGCTCACCCTGAGACGGGGCCCACACTGCCCGTCTTCTCTGCCGATGGCCTCACCGGGTTCTGTGCCAGTGTTCTGCTCCTCCAGAACACCTCTGAGGAGAGTGCCTCCAGTGTTGCTAGGCAACATGAAACACACAGCGTCTCTTTCTCTTCCAGAGTCACAGTAACAGCAAGGGATAGAGGTTGTGTATATAACATTTTTTTTTAAAACTTAACCACGAAGGGGTTTGGCCTTAACAGCAAGGCTGTGAACCCTTTTGCCCATACGTTTAAAGAGGCGTGCACACATCGGGTCAGGAACGGCCGGTCGGCCAGGGTCCCTGAGGGAGGGCAGGGGGCGGTAGTGGGGGCGGGGGGAGTCGGGCTCCTGGCAGGAGGGCCGCGCCTGCCTGCGTGGAGCGTGGGTGTGACCAGCGCTCCCCACGCACCCTTCTCGCGGGGCCTGGGTGGCGGGGCGTGCTGCCGCTGCCGTCTGCGGGCCTCACGCTGAGACCCTCTGCGCTAACGTGTTTGGTTTTCGGGCCTCTGTGGACGAGCAGTGCAGGGTTGGGGGCTAGTGCTCTTCTGTGGGCGGAACAGGGTCAGGTTCCGGAAGTCACCTGGCGCCGGGCCGGGAGGAGGCCCGCGCTCTGGGTCCCGACACGGCGTGTGTGCCCCGTGGGCTCCGGGTCCCGACACGGCGCGTGTGCCCCGTGGGCTCCGGGTCCCGACACGGCGCGTGTGCCCCGTGGGCTCCGGGCCACTGCCCGTCAGCTCCTCTGTACGTGAGGGGTGTTTCTGCCCTCGGTTCTCTTGGACCCCCCAGCCAAGGAGAAGCCGCACTCCTAAAGCGTGTGTGCGCACGCGCTGTACGGAGACACGGGGCGGGCGGTGCCGGCCCCTGTCGGGGAGCTTCCTGTTTTCAGCTTGTTTTTCTGGGCTGAATCGGTGTCAGCGTTTATTTGGTTTGTAAGGTAATGTTTTCCGAAGTGTGGTTTGTGCCACGCTAGTCACACGGATGCGCCTTAGTGAAAACTGCGGCATCCGTGTGGCCGGTCAGGTGCGGGGTCCCTGTCCCAGCCCGCAGGAGGTGTGCGCTGTCTGTCGCTTCCACGGGGCCCTGGCCTGCACCCCGAGGCCGGGTAGTGACAGCCGGAGCACAGCTGGCTCCCGGAGCCTCGGTGCCCTCCGAGGACCCGCCGTGTGCGGCGGTGCTGTTGGTGTGTGCGTTTGCCGCTTCCACACTTGACGGGACGAGCAGTGTGGCCTGGTACTGCTCCTGGGTCTCAGGGTGGGTCTTGTGATGGCTGCGGTTGCTGATCTCAATGAGTTTTCAAGTGAACAGGGACCTGGCCAGGCAGCTCAGTTGGTTCAAACATCGTCCTGATGCGCCAAGGTTGTAGGTTCGATCCCCGGTCAGGGCACATACAAGAATCAACCAATGAATGCGTCAATGAGTGGAACAACACAACAAATCAATGTCTCTCTTTCTCCCTTGCCCCCTCTTTCCCTCACTTCCTTCTTCTTTCTGTCTGTAAAATCAATAAGTAAAAATTAAGGAAAGGGCAGGGGCCCAGCACAGTAGGGGCCACCTGGCCCAGGTGGACACCCAGGCCTCTCTGTGGCAGCGGCGTCCCATCCTGTCGGGTGGTTGTCTCTGCCCTTCCCCCACCCGCTCCTCCTCTCCCCAGACGCACCTCTGCCGCACACGCCACGGCGGCCTGGGGGGGCGGTGCGGGTAGGGGAGTGCTTGGGCAGGAGAGCTCCGGCTGTTTCAGGGTTATCTGAGGAAAAGGGGGGCTGCGCCGAGAGTGGTACCTGGTGTTTAGTACTGCATCAGGTCTACGCACGCAGCTCGTGCAAAACAAAACAAAACACAAACGGTCGTTTTAGTGCAAATCTTAATTTGGTCAGTCCCGGCTTCAGAAACAGGTGACACTGAAGTCATGTATCTGTCAGTTTGTCGTTTGCACCTGGGAGCCATTTTTGTCTCCGAACAACGTAACACGACGACGGCCAGGTTCCCGGGCGGCCCCACAGAGACGCACGCGGCTCTGCCTCCGGGCGGTGGAAGTGGTCGGGGCAGTGTCCTGTGCGCCAGAAGGTGCGGGCTCGGCTTCCAGTCGGGGCACGTGCCCAGGTTGCAGGTTTGATCCCTGGTCGGGGCACATGCGGGAGGCAGCTGCTGGGTGTGTTTTCTCTCTCTCTCCCCCTCCCCCCACTGAAACCAGTCAATAAACCCTCGGATGAGGACTTGAAAAAAGTGCTGCTCTGTCTCGCCACTGGCAGCGGAGTGGAGCCTGGGCCGGTCACCTTCACCAGGGCAGGGGTGGTGTTTCAGACCGCTGTCGCCGGTCAAGGCTGTTTTCTGGGAGACCTCCCTTGCCATGTCAGCTGTCCCCCAGGTGACATGACTTTAGGAACACAGAGTTGTTGACCAGGTGCCCCTGTTGCGTGTGGCTGGGGTGCTGAGGACACCTGGGTCTCCTGGACCCACGTTCCAGTGGAGGCTTTGGCCCTGGCCCCGCCCCCACCTGCTGTCCCCGGGCAGTGTCTGGAGAGCACTGGAGCAGGACTTGGGGCTGCGGGTTTGTCCACGGACTGGGGTTCCTTCTCAGCCCTGCGTTTGCTGTGGTCTCTTGCAGGACCCCTGGGTCTTCTGTCCGTTGTACCTCCCGTGCTCCCCCGACACCTTCGTCAGCCTGCCAAAAGGGCGAGGCGCGGTGGGGCGTGCTCACCGTGCTCCTGGGAGTGTCAGGGGTGCTGTGGCGGGTGTGGGAGGGCCGGGTGCTCACCTAGACCTGCTGGGGTCCTGGAGGCAGTCACCCTGCCGGAAGCCCCTTAGTGTCGCACCCGGGCTGCACGTGCTGGTTCGGGTCCTCTTTCCAGTAGACGGGGCTGGACTGGGGCCGAGGGGTCGCCCGTGCAGGCGAGGGATCCGGAGGGTCCGGGGCCTGCAGTCCCGCGTCGGGCCTGTGCGTGTGTGTGAGCAGGCGCTCCGGGCCGGCTGCGGCTGTGTCCCCGGGTGGGGCCCGGCCGCAGTGCGACGGGGCCGCCTGCAGGGGGGCGCCGTGGGCGCAGGTGTGAGCAGCGAAGGCCCGCCGGCCTGTGTCTCAGACGCCCCTCTGTCTGCGGGCGCGCGGAGGGGTGAGAGTAACTGGGTCTGCGGTGCATCAGTGGAATTTTACTGACTCGCTCCCCACACACGTCTGCATCTTACTCCAGGAGAGCTGGCACCCTCTCCGGGGGAGGCTGATGCTCCTCTGTAGTTTTCCCGTGGGCGAGCTCGCCTGCGGTTCTGCGCATGCCTGCCGGCACGAGGGCCGGCATGAGGGCCGGCCGGCGCCCCGGCCCCGCTCTGCGTGTGGACTCCACGATGGGCTCTCAGGGCAGCGCTGCAGTGGCCGTGAGGGCACCTGTATAGTGGCCGGGTTCGTAAGGGTTCTGCACCAGGTTTGGTGACTGGTCAGTGACTGCTCAGCTGTGTGAGTCCCAGCGGACGCCCAGAGGCACGGGGCTCTCGCACGCAGAGGGCCGTGGCGGGGGGCGGGGGGTCCTCCACAGCCTCCAAGAAGCCCAGAGCCGGCCAGGGGTAGCCGGCACAGGCCAGGACCTGGCGCCCACGTGGGTGTGTTTGCCTTCTTCCAGAAGACTCCCGGACGCTGCGGCCTCCAGCCCCTCCCCTCCCCTCCCCCCCCACCCACTGAGCCCTGAGCGCTTGCTCCAGTGGAAATTTCCACTCGCCTGCCGGGGGCAGGGGAGGCTGTGAGTGAGAGTGCGAGACTGTGACAGACAGAGACAAAGAACACAACTCGGATTCGGGCGGGCGCTTTCTCCGGGAAACTTGTCAACACGGGGCTGAGA